CTGCAGAGCTGGTGGGATGGCTCCTCTGGTCCAGGCCGCTGCCCAGAGCCCAGGAGTGCTGCAGGAGGAATCCCAAATGCAGTCACCCCCAGAGCCTGCAGCTCCCACTCCCCAGCACTCATACCACAGCCTGCCGAGGGCTGGGAACTGCCCCTGCCCACAGCCCCCTGCACCCACTCCCACCCTGCTTACCGGTGCTGGACATGGCTGCGGACATGGGGAGCTCTGTGCTGCCTGGACAGGCAGCATGTGTGTTATTCTTAGCTCTGTGGCTCAAAATACTCGGGAAGGTTGTGCTCATGGCAGACGGAGGTCACGCAAGCGCAGAGCAAGGAAAAACATTTGACACCCCAATATGGGACAGGAACCACGTGGGGCCTGAAGCAATGGGGTCAATTGCTGACACCTCCCCAGGCTGATGTTGCTGGACACTGCAGGTCCTCCACGGTGGAGGCAAGTGCATGCAGAGACAAGCCAAGCCCCCAGGGCAGTTCTCCACACCAGACACCATCCAACCACAGTGTGATGCTTTCCCCAGAGGCACCTCTGATCCCTCCCAGGTAGGAGCAGAAAGACACGCTGGTCCCCACAGGGTCCCTGATACTTTGTGGTACCTTGGCGCATACTGAAAAACCCCTGGGCAGCAGCATCACTGCTGAAGACCAGCCAAAAATCTCTGCAGACAGACCTCTCGTTCGCCAGCTGCTCTTAAGAGATCGAAGGAAGAGGGAGCTCCCTTCCTTAAAACCAGCCAGGCCAAGCCCTGACACCGCATCCTGCCGCATACTCAGCTCGGGGCAAGGAGCCACAGCCGCCCATAGGGTCCCACTTTGCGCAAGCAGCTCTCAGGCCCTCCCCAGTCCTCCGAAGGACAAAGACCCTCCTTTCCCACAAGCTCCCCTTTATGTTCCCACATCCCCTCGACAACACGCGGGGTTGGCATCGCATCCCGGGTGGCTGCGGTACCCGTTTTTACTCGCCGCTCTGACTGGGAAGCCTCCGGCTCCCTGCGGCTGCATTATCTAATGCAAAAATCCCCGCGGATAGAAAAGGGATCGCGGGATAGACAGGCAAACCTGGAGAAGCTCAGAACCCGGGGAACCCCCTACCCCGGTGCTAACCCTGTGCTGGGGTCGGGTAAGGGTGGGGATGGGGGTGACTTACGGAAGCTGCTGTCGCCGCCACCGCCCTGCCCGGCTCGGCTCAGCCCAGCCCGACCCGGTTCAGCCCCGCGGAAGTGGGGTTTTCAGCGGGCAGGATGTGCGGATGCTGGGAGGGCGGTGGGAGGGGGAATTAAAGGCGCAGCGGCAGCTCACAGCTACCGGGAGGTGCGGTCCTGTCTCCCAGCACCCTCTCCCAGCCGCGGGGGGTGCAGCAATACCGCCGGGCTGGGGCGCTCCTTCTACCTTTGCTCCGAAACCAGGGCTCAGAGGAGAAGAGGAAGAGACCTTCCACTAGGAAAGGGTTTTGGGGTGACATGGCACTGCCCCATGCTGCTGGCATCTCAGCTTAGCTGGGTGAAGTTCTGTGCTGCACCTCATCCCAGGGCTTGTTGACCTTCTGGTGCCTAGGCTGAAGCATGGTGGTCCCAGTGGGTGCCACTGCTGTGTGGTTCCTTCATCACAGAATCAACCAGGTTGGAAAAGACCTTTAAGATCATCAAGGACCCAGGACTGCCAAGGGACTGAGTCCTTAATGGACTTACCCCAGGTCTGCCGAGTCCACCAGGTTCTCCTTCCCAGCTGCCCAGGGAGGCTGTGCCCACATCATCTCACTCCTGCAAGCCCAGGCAGTCATGGCCAGCACCCACCTGCCAGCTGCCCCTTGCTGCTGGGTGCCAGCAGGACTACCCCAGCAGGTCCCACTGCCCTGGGGCTTCCTGCAGCGGGGATGCCTATGCATGCCCTCTGTGACTCAGGGTGCAGCGATCCTGGGTGGTGCCCTTGCCAGGGGACATGGCCACAGTAACACGGCTTTGTGTGGCACAGCTTGCCCTGATGTGGCTTAGCCCAGCATGGCCCACAGCCCAATGGATGTCACCTAGTATAGGTTACTATACCTACCCTGAGGTATAGCTCAGGTATAGCTGTGGAGCACGGCTCCTCAGTGCTCCACAGAGCACCTGCTTTCTGAACCACACCACCTTGCCCCAGGGGAGTAAATCCTTGCTAGGCAGGGAGCAGGTTGCGCATAGGGTCAGAAGCCGTCCCCCTTGCCTGTGGGAAGGGCAACCAGCACATTCAAAACCAGCTGTAACACAGTCCTGCTGCTGCAGCCACAAGGGAAGGTCCTGTCCCCATCCCCACCTAAGAGAACCTACCACAGGCAGCTTGTTCTACCCACCGTGGTGTAGAGGAGGGTTTGGGGTGCCCTTTATTGCTCCAACCCAGCCACAGCAGCCACTCCATCTTAATCTCAGCCAGAAGACAGCTGTGTCCCTGTCTGCAGGCTGGCAGACTAGGGAGTCCCTGCTGGGGTCATGGCTCTGCACCAAGCTGCAGGCAGCAGCATGCTTTCAGGCAAGAAGCAAGCAGTCCTGCAATGCCAGGTCTTGTTCTGCCTTGGTTTTCACCTGAACGTATTTGCCAGCTCCGTCACTAGCCTTGACCACCACCACCTGCCTTGCCTGCTCAGATCCACCCAGAACAGAGCCCATCCTTGTGACCCCATTCACCTCCTGTCCATCTCTTGCCTCACCCCTCAGTGGCCTTTAAAGCCGCTTTCACAGCTGACTCTCCTGGGGTAGGAGACAGCTCCTGCATAATCCTACCATGCAGGGTGCCCCATATCCTGCCCCTTGTGCTTGGGAGCAGTTTCTGTAGAATATCTGCACAAATATCTGTGCAATTTCCTTGTTTCCTTCCCTCAAGTTTCCCTGTGCAGTGATGCCTGCAGGAACTTGGCAGCAGGCACTGTTCTTCGGGTCTTTAGCTCTCTTTGTCTGGGTCCAGGCGTTGTCCCTTTGGCTGTGAGCTGCCGGGGGAAGGAGAGCTTTGTGTCCTCCGTTCACATTGTGCTGCTGGCACATAAAACTGCAGAGCCTGAACACAGGCAGTTGGGAATCGAGCTGGGAGGTTGCAGTCATTTGTCTGTCTCTCAGAGGCCTGCCCCACACATTTCCTCTCTATTGTGCCATCCTCCAAGCAACAACCAAAGTACACAAACCTGTGCGCGCAGCAGGCTCCAGCCTGCACCCCAGAACAGCAGGGAGCAGTCCTGGGGGCTGGCTGTTTGCTGTCTGCCCCATGCTCAAGAGATGGCTGAGCTACAAGCAGCATCACACATCAGGAAAGCAGACCCAGCCAAGCTACACTCCACGGTTCTACCACCCCTCATCCCTTCCCAAAGGCTTTAGCTGTCCACCCAAACCAGGCTCAGAGACAGGTTTCTGGCTGGAGGTGGCAGAATTAGCCTTGTAAATGGCCACTGAGACTACAGGGCTGGGCTGACATCGGCCACTCGGCCACCAGCAACTCTCCCCTCCCCACACCATCCCCAAAGCTTCTTCCTGCACCCCAGCATCAGTGCATGCAGCTCCCCATCCACCTACTTTGCTTCTG